TTTGAATTTTTAAGCCATTAGTCCCATCATGCCGCCACCCCTGGTGATCAAAGGAGTGGTGGGTAAGAGAGAGTGATATGAAGAGAGGATTAACAGCTAACAAGAGGATTGGAGGGAGAAAAGGACGATAAAGAGTATGAAGGAACAGATGAGAGAGACAAAGGAAATCAAATGCCAAAAAAAAACTATGTGCCAGCTCCTTTGTTCTTTTGACAGCAATATATATATATATTATATTGTATATATATATATATATTGTATCATGTATTATATTGTACACAAATATCCTGTCAGTGTTGCTTTCAAGATCCTTTCCATCCATCCTTTTTGGTACAAACTAGGTCTCTTTTCTCCTCCAAACTCCCCTCCTCTAACCCTTTCTCTCTCCCCTTCACCTCTTTAATTCTCACTTACGCCCTCCTCTCCTCTCTACTTTTTTCTTCAGCCGTCTCCTCCTCTGATCTTGTCACCTCTTTTGTTTCAACTCTCCTCTTCCTTTTGTTTTATTTCCTTTTCCCTCCTCACTTCTCCTCCTTTCTTTTCCTCAACCTCCTCTCTTCTCTCCTCCTCTCCTCTCCTCTCATTGTTACGCTGTAATTGGAGCTGGAAGCCTCGAGACAAGCAGCTCAGTGTGCGTCAGGCTGACAGGCAGGCCCGTTGGCTTCTATTAAGCTTTAATAAGTGAGCAGGATTGGAAGAGGAGAGGAGAGTTGAAGGTAGGAGAGAGTGCGCAAGCTGCTGCTTCTACTGTCACCTCTTAGCAGGATGCAGGGAGACCTGCCTGCTGTCACAGAAAGACACACACTACCAAATCTATCCATCCGTCATTTCATTTTTTGTCTGCTTTTTCAGTTTATTGCCACTGGCTAAAGATGTCCTCTACATGTTGTGCATCTAAGAAAGACAGACATACAAGTGGGGGGAAAAGAAATTTGTTAAATAACCTACAACATATCTGAGTGTCCATGTCAAAGAGAAGTTAAGGAAACATATTAAGTGTGAGGCCAGTCTCTTTCTCTCTCTGCTAAAACGTCTATACACACATGCACGCACACACAGAAAGCCATACTTACACACACACACGCTTGTCAAGACCTCTCCTCCTGCATGAAGATGACAGCGGTATTATTGCACTGTGCAGAATTTAATCTGAAGTGCCACACAGCAACCCTGGACCCCAGTTGAGGTAAATGTTAGAGAAATATCTACAACCTCTGCAGCTGAGTGCAGCAAGAACAATTCCAGATGTGATGTGTGTGAAAGAGGAGATTTGCGGTTATACCCCGATTATGTTGCCTTTTCCTACATTTTCTGTGGTTGCAGCGCTTCATTTTTGTTTACAAAGTCATCAAGGCTGTAGTTTATTGAAAAAAATGAATCAGTTCATTACCTGACTTTTCAAACTCCTTCTGGGCCCTGTAAATGAGCACACTGGTAACCTCCAAATGTCTTCCTTTGTGTCGCATCTGCTGCCTGCAAGAAGAGCCTTTTTACTAAGGAGAGGAGCGATAATGTGATTGAAACTGGCAGTCTATCCAAATTGAATATTGGCCTGAAACTTGAAAATACATACAGCAGGAATCAGGGTTATGTTTAGGCTGCTGCAATAAAGATGCCAAGAATGTGTTCAAGGAGAAAAGAACTCCCAATGAACAAATGCCAAATTCAATATAAACATGGGTGCATAAATGACTACACAAAGACTAACGTCTGTGCATGTTAGCCTATGTAACCACAAGCTGGCTGTGTGACAGCACGAAGGAACGAAGTGAAGAAAGATATGTCGTGAGATCAGAATTATGAGCTGCCATCTGTTTTCAGAGCAATTTTGAGATATTGAGCAATCAAGTTTACACATCCCATTGGGCAAAACTAACCTCTTAAATAAACGTTAATACTCTGTTAAATAAACACTTTAAAATGCATAATTCAAACCACATGCATGGACTTACTATATGAAAAATTCTTCTGAACAATCCCATTTTAGATCAAAGTATTAGATGGGAATATATTTTTCCAACATTAATATTCAGAGGCAGTGATAAGCTAATGGAAGATGAAGTTAAAAGAAAATGAGGGAAGAAGAGGTTGTGGCATCAAGCAAACAAGAAAATGAAAAACAAATACACTTTAGGACCGAACACAATTCCGCTGATAAAACGTGATCTCCAGTTATTCCAAAGGATTTGTCTGATGGTGAACTGAACTGTGCATTTCACGTAACTAACAGGCTGTAACTAAGGCCGGTGTCTGTGTGTATCACTTAGCTTATTGGATTGGTGATAAAGGACTAATTAGTGCTGAAAAGGACATTGATTGACCAACAAGGCCAGTTGATTAATGCCAGGTTTCAGTCAATGGGAACTGCAAACTTGTTGAGAGTATGGACTCGCAATGACAGTGTCGAAGATCTATTGTCCAAGCTTTAAGATGAAATTGTAAGCGACAAGGTGGTCGATGAATGGTTAAATAGAAATCTGTGAAGGTACAGTCTGGCAGTGAACCAACTATCTAAATAAATAAATGAAAAACTCAGACAAGGTTCCTCTTTTATGCACCTCTTTTATGCACCAACTGCACCAGGTCCCATTCCTCGTAGGCGTGAAAACCTACTTGGCAATAAACAAAATTCTGATTCTGATTCTGATTCTCTGGTTTCGGATGAAATTCAATTTTTAGCCCTGCTAGCAACGTGTCTCTAAGAATGGCATTGCCACTTTGATCCAGACTAAAATACATACATACATTGCCATGGAATTTTGTACAGACATTTATGGTCCCTATGAGAAACCCTATAGAGTTTGATGAGCCCCTAACTTTTGATGTAGCGCCACCATGAGGCTGACTTTTGTGGGTTTTTTTAAGTGTCTTGACACAGATTCCCATGAAATTTAATACAAACATTTAGGCCCTTAGGATGAATGGAAATCACTTTTTTATTTATTTAGCGCTATCATTAGGTCACAGTGTTAATTTATCAAAAACGAACGACATTCCCATCAGCCTCAGCTGTACTTTTGTATGGTGCTAATGAGCAAATGTTAGCATGCTGAATAAAATAGTAAACCTGCTAAATATTACCTTACCTTCTACCTGTTGGCATTGCCATTGTTTGCATTGATGTTAGCATTTAGTTCAAAGCATTATGCAGCCTCATAGTAATTATTTTTTGGCCTTTTTCCTCGCTCTTTCTCCTTGCACATTGTGAGGTTATTGTAATTGCATTTTTGGAAAAGGCTTTGGGCCATGGTTACCTAAAGAAATAAAATAGTTTTGTTTTTTTTCATTTAGAACTATTTTTACCATATAATAATTGCCAGCATCTCCTCACAGAAAGAAAAAGCTAAAAACAAAGCCTGAGGTTTTTCTAGCTGTGTCATTGTTTTTGTGAAGAGGTGTTACTGGAGAGCTTTGAAAATGTGATTTTTTTGGTGTGCTCAGCCAACACAAACCAGCTTTGAGCTCTATCCTGTTGGGACATATATCCCCAAACCTGAAACTAGTTGGATTGCATTGTCTGTAAGAACAGAAATATTTCTTTCCACTATAGAAATAGTGTGTTTTGGAAAACTGGCCCTTTAATGTGTACAAGAGCACAGCATGACAGTTCAGTAGCCTCTCACAGGGTTTAAGCAGCCAGTCCCCAGCTTAATGTCAATGTGTAGAGTAACACTTTATTATGCCAAGCCACAGACCACATTAATTAACCACCCGGCTGTACAAGTATTTGCACCACAACCAGCTGCATTTGTCCCCATTAAAAATGAATTTGTCAGTCACTGAAAGTATGTTTGTTTAAAAAAACTGCTGCTGTTCTCTGTATGTTCATTCTTTCTCCCGTTCTTCGTTCTGCTCCTTTTCTGTGCAGTGTATAAGTGAGTAAGTGGCTCCCAATGTCTATTAATGACATCCATTTATTTTCTGGGAGAAAGGATTTATTTCACTGTCCTTGTGGAGACAGTCCTCCCTCTGCTGCTATTGGTGTTGTAATTTAACAACTATTACTATGTTTGTCTAAGGACCCAAATGTTCGAGTTTGCTTTAGGCGACTTCTTTCTCTCTCTCTCATTGTAACACCCTCCTCTTTCCTTCTTCTACTTTTCTCCAATCTGCTTCCCTTGGCACAATTTCATTGTATTCGTTGGTGTTGGTCCCAGGAGCTCACGCAGCAAAGAACAACTTTTCTTCTGGCATTTTCCTAATTGATCCATGGCAGCCCACGCTGTGGTCTAGCTGTATTCATATCTTCAATAATTCATAAACCGTTCTCTCGGAAGGATTTCATGTTCTTATACGAAAGAAATACAGAAATTCATGGTCTTGTCTGCTGATATGGTGCGCTTTATCTATAAACATGATGCCTTATGTTCATCCTTACAAAGAGTTTGGCATATAGATGGAACAAGGGGAAACTTATTTTTAACTTATTTTCTACTATAAATTCAAAGTATAGAAAACAAGTCTAAAAGTTTCAGGTCTTTGCTGTGTTTGTACATTAGACAAAAAGCTGAACCCGAGAAGTATCCAGAGAATTAACCGATTAGTATATGTGTTGTTGTTTTTTTTAAATCAAAATATTTTTTAAGTCACAAGTAGTGTATATAGCACATCTAGATGGGAAGTATAACATACTTTCATGGACATTATGAAAACTTTAACTTATTACTCACTATTAATGCCAGACTTGGCATCTCTCCCCATAAAACTAATGTTGTGAAACATGTTAGGGTTGAGAGCTATTCTCAATCAGGAAGACAGTTATTACAGCTATTAAAATCACCATCCACTTTACGTAATGAAGGCAATTAGCCAGAGCTACCTTGGCTGGAAAGCATAGGACCATTCCCACCCACAGAGGGGAGAGAGAAAATAGGCCATCTTGTCTCGCCATTTGTTAACTCCCACATGTTTAATACAGGAAACACTGATGCTATTAACATGGTTCCGCCAGTTGACTGATGGCTTTCTTTCTGTGTGTGATTGTATCCCCGTCTTTGCAGGAATGCTGCTCCAAGAGAGTTTCATCGAGGAGCCTGATGGCCTGGTGTCTGTAAACCTGCTGGTGGTTTCTGCTGTTTCGGCCTTCGCAACTGGAGCTGTCCTCTCTGGCCTCACTGTCTGCTGGATCATGAGTCACCGCCACCGCCACTCTCGAGGCTCTGGAGCGAATGGCGCCCGCCGCAAAAGTGACAAAGAGCAGAGCATGCTGGGGCAGGGCCGCAGCGGGTCAGTAATGAGCGTAACAAGAACCAGCGGCGGCGAGAGGCGTCGTTCACAGGCGGACAACCCCTTTGTCACGCCCAACGGTTGGCCCAAAGGAGAGATGGACCCAGGTTTGCTGCCTACCCCGGAGCAGACCCCGTTGCAACAGAAACGGGCCATGCGTCTCCCAGACACCGACTGGGACCAGAGCCAGACCTTCCTCACCGCTGTGGGGACGCCCTGCCCCAACAACTCTGTCATCTATCTAAGCTCCAAGTTCCTGCATGGAGGTGGAGGGGGTGGAGGAATGGTCCGGATAGAGGACCCAGGGGAGGTCATGCTGCCCCCGCACACAGAGCGCCAGCGCTACCTGATCCTAGCCACCCAGAGAGGGGAGCACGGTGGCAGTCGTCCCAGCGGCACCCTGAGGAACTCAGCGGGAGAATACATCTACCCCGCCACGCCGCAGGACTCCCCCGACCGACGGAGGGTGGTTTCCGCTCCCACTCCCCACATGGACTATGGGGAGCCTCGCTGGAGTCACGAGGCGCTCAACTACAACAGCAACAATGGAGCGCCCTATCACCCCCAGCGTCAGGCCCTCATCAGGCCAGATATGCATGGGCCTCGAGGGCTGGGAGAATTGGCTGACTTCAGCCATCTTCTAGGGAAGAACATGGGAGAGCGCACCCCCAGTGGCCAGTGAGGCGAAGTACGTGAGCCCTGGCACCAAGCTCTCTCTGAACACCCATTCCCTCCAACAGCAGACTGGAATAAATCAACCCCTCAGACTCACTGTCCCGGTCCAACCTTACCCTGTCTGTCCTCTCTCACTGTCATTCAATGTTCTGACGTCATTCAGCTGACTGAAGAGAGAGACAGAGAGAAAAGAAACAAAGAGAGAGTTGAAAAAGAGGAGAAAACTCTCCTCACGTCTCCGTTCCTCTGCTCTTAATCTGAGGCGCACCCCTCTGCTCTGTATGTGGTACGACCCGCAGAGCTTGACTTTGACACCACAGGACAAACAGAAAGGTAAAGCGAGGGGTGCAGCGGAAAGTGAATCTTCTCAAAGCAACATGTGGGGATTAAAAAAATGAAAAATTCGCTTGCAGCGCCAAATGTGAAAGGTCTCCCTCCACCATTATGTTCACCGTTTTGACACCATGGATCTTGTTTGAGTGTGAAATTTTGTTTCTGCTTTTGTTTTTTTGTGCCAGTGGCATCCAGCAGACAACAATGTGCTTTACTATGGATTTCAGATGAGACTAAAACTGTTGTAGCCGTGCCAGAGGACATTGACTCTCAATGAATCATGCAGTGTGTGTATGTGATTGTGTGTATGTGTGAATGTGAGTGGCCACAACAACCCCAACCAGTATCCTGTCTTTAACTGTGAAGTATAACTATATAATGAAGTTTCGTAAGGAGGAGGTTGATGTTAACATTATTTTCCTTTTTATAAACAATCACAGAGAGACAGATGGATTTTATTCTATGTCTCTATGAAGCTGTATGTGTTTAGCAATCAGAGGTTTGGATGGTTGACCAGTGGCTGGTGAAGGGTTGAGACACTTATTGTAATTTCTGTGATTCCCAGTACCTCAGAGGCAGCACTGGATAGAGCCATCATGAAGTGAAAGAAAGCAATAATAAGCAAGACACATGAAGATGAAGTTAAAGCCAATTTAATTTTATATTTTATAATATAATTGTTTTCTCAGCAAAGCAAACTGGAGTTTAGAGATGTGAGGAGAAGCTGGGTGCTGGGAAAAGGAACAATAGCTCGCCTCCATTCTTCCCTCCCTAGCTGCCTCTCAGTATGCCTGGGTCTGTCTGACCTGACCTGAGGCCCCCCTGGGCTCCGCAGTCCATTTGAAGGAGGGAATGTGAGCTGTGGCTGTCTGGCTGTCTGACTGGGTCTGTGAGGCCCGGCCGCTTGGGAGCTCCATTCAGGGCTCTTCTGCCCGACACTGAGCCTCTTTGTGCCCCAGAAGCAGGAGGAGACTGCGGCAACAAATAGCCGTTAAGAGTCAGGGACCTAGCCCAGCACCGCAGCCTAGCAGAATATCAATGAGGAGGACAGCAGCTCCATTCGTCATGTGAGATGTACCAACCAGGACCGGGCATCTCTTATGCTTCACCCACTCTGGTTATTCACTGGTTTGCCAGGACAGGGAGGAGCTGGGGGCTGAAGCTGGGGCTGAGGCCAGAGTTGGGGCACTGCTAACTGTCACAATGGTCATCCCTTGTGGCTTTATCCCTTTCTGTCTTTCAGTGTGTTTCACCACAAAAGCGGGATAAAGAAAACAGATGGGCATGGGTATACTTGGGTGTGGAGTTACTCTTTCACTCCGTTGTCTGATCTTTTGATGTTTTCTGTTTTTGTGTGTTCTCATCCGTTCTTGATTCAAATGTAGATCCAGAGATAGCTTTTTTTTCTCATCTGGGTCATGGTGTGGGGGTGTTTTTTTGTGTGTGTCTCTCTTTGGGTTTGTGTACATGAATGCTTTACTCATATTGAGTGCAAAAAAACAGCTTTGATCAAATTTACTCTCGTTCTCACCCTTCTTTTTTTTTCAACCCTGTTCCTTTCTCTGAGCCATTAATGTTGTGGAGCAGCCTTTTGCGTGACATTCACAAATCCGTGCTAACAGTGGCAGAGCCCTGCGTGGGAGAATGTATGCTATACAATATATTTAAACCTTTATACTTTACACAAAGAAGTGCAACTAAAATGGAAAAGCCGGGCTCTGCTCAGTTGAAGGGGACTTGAAGGGTCATATGGTAGATACACAGTACACACACAAGAAAATATCACAGTGTTCAAAAACTATTTTCATCAACATTTAACGTTTTCAGCCCCACAACTTAATTGACTTGGTTCAGCTCTCATCAGTGTCTTCTCAGTAATGCTCATAAAAATCATCTGTACTCCACCAGCTCAGCACCAAACGGCAGACAGACAAAGTTAGCAACTAGCGGGTGAACATATTGCCGCATTTAGCAGCTAAAGAGCCAGATATTTCCCTCAGGAGTTTGTAGAGACCAAAAATGAAAAGAGCTAAAAGGAGAATAACTATCGGACTTACATTCACCAACACAACACCAAATGTAATTGCTCCATAGCTGGATGGATGTGTAAGAGGCAACTTAAAAGTGGTAATATGCCAGTGTTGTGTTTACACCTTGTTTTTGCTACCCCCAAGTGGCCAAATAATCAATTAATGAAGGTCTTGTGTAAAAATGCTAATGCCTTTTTTAACAACAAACAACATAGTAATGACACTGTTTAAACACAAGCAGTTGTACAAGAACTTTCCCTGAATACAATTTTTTTGTCAAAGTTTAAATCTGATCTGATCAAATAAAAGTAAACAAGATTGCAAATCTGACCAAATATTCAATACCAGCTGACAGGACATACAGACACAGTGTTGAGGTTCAAAACACACACCGGCCCTAGAAAATACACAGCCGGAGCTGGAGGTACTGAGACAAGCCAGCGAAAGAGATTTATGAAAGCAAGGACAGAGGAGGAGGTCAGACGGGCGAACATGATGTTACTACATTACCGCCTCACCACATTAGTACAGTGTATTCTTTACGCATTCCACCCTGAAACAGGTCATTAGTATTGAGGATACGGAGCCCTCCACCAGCCAGGACCCTCATCTCATCGTCTCCATCTCGGCTGTGACCTGAGTGCTGCTTGTGTGTGTGTGTGTGTGTGTGTGTGTGTGTGTGTGTGAATGAGGCCTCTCTGTCTCGGCCGGCTTGCCTAGCCAGCCGTGTCCTCGCTCTGCATCTCCTCCGGTGTTTCACTAAACATGCTTGATTAGGCAAAGTACATTCCCGGCCCTCTAATGGCCTGATGAGCCCTTGAGAAGATTACTACAGACACATCAGCCCTGAGAGGGAGGTGCACGTTCAACCAGCTCTTTACCCCTCCACTAAGGGACACACACACACACACACATGCATACACACAAATATTGTCGGCCCTTTAACCAAATTTGGGATGCAATTGAATTAACATCAGAAGCAGAGCTCAGGCTTGAAATAGGCCGACACTGCCTGGTTCTAGGAGAGATACTGTACATGATGTTATCTTAATCTATGATTTGATTACCTTGGTTGAACATTACAGAGCAGCTAAAGAATTCAGGTGTAACCTCGTGGAAGTCAGTTGGTTTATTAAAGCCATCATGCTCCCTCTTCTTTACATACTACATGTCATTCCCATTCCTCCTCTTTCAACAGCTGCACTTTGTCTTCTTCTTCTTTCAAGCGCCCTTTTAGTGTTAACAGACCCGCACTTCTTTCTGCACACACACACGTAACATCTCTACCTAATACAGGCCTGTGCTTTTGTCCTGTTCCTCACTATTGAAGGTTAGTTAGTTAATTTAATGAGTCCGTGACAGAAACAGAAATCAAAGTCACTCACAAAATCCTGCTTTATTTCACATCAAATCCTTAATGTGTTACAATTTTTTTTAGACATTTTCAAATCTTCTCAAGCGGGAAATTGCTTTCCTTTGCTTAGAAATGATTTTGTGTTTTGGAGTTTTGTTTGTTAAATGTAGCACATATTGCCTCCAGTCCTACACACACACACACACACACACACACACACACATTATCCCTCTTTATCTCTATTCTATACACATCAGCACACACACACACACACACACAGAAATTCCCACCCAGCCCTCATGACCCAGTCTGTTTTTCTTATTTATCAGGTTGTGTCTGTGTGTTTGTTAAAGAGACCATGCCTTTGTGTGTTGTTGGGGTTGTTTGTGCCGTGTGGCCTCAGTGATGCGATGCCCCCCAGCCAATAACTGCCATCTTGCCCTACAGTGCTCGACTGTACTGTATGTGCGCTGTGCCCTAGATCGAGTCCTTGTATTAAATCCACCATCGCAGTAGGGAGCAGTGACATGAAGCCGCTCCCTTCCAGCCAACATCTGAGAGGGGAAGAAAAGCACAAAAACAAGGCAAAAACAAAATCAACATTTGCATTTTTGTAAAGTTGTAGATGTATTTAGTCAGCGCTGATCATTTCTGTCATGTTTGTTTTTTCTATAGTTTGTTTCTGTGGTAGATATTTGGTTTGAAATTATATGGAATATTATTGTATATGATTTCAATTTCAATTCTCTGGTGTGCTGGATTTGATGACGACAATGAAGACGAACCTGATGACTATCATGATTATTATTAAATTGACAGTGACAATGAAGCAGTACTGTGAGCAGCACTGAGGTGTTGCGTCCTGTTCGGATGCTGAATCTAAAAAGGAAATGGTAGAAGAAGAAGAAGAAGAAGAAGAAGAAGAAGAAGAACAAGAAGAAGAAGAGGAAGAAGAGTGAATGGACTCATACAGGCTGAGGTTCAAAAAGAGATTCTACTTTTCTCCTGCGGAGTGGAGTCTCCTGCTACTGTGAAGGACCCCGCAGTCCTGTGGCTCTCACCAGAGGCTGGCTCCGCCGTCGCCCCAGGGACCTCGGGGCAGGCTGTCATCAGATGACAACACATGTCCCTACTACGTGTACATAACCTTGATGCTTACATGTAATTTAAGTGCAGTAGCTGCATGACGACACAGCCTCTGTGTGTGTACAGAAGTAGCGACGTGTGAATTTGTACAGTACATGCAAGTGTGTGTGCTTGTGTCCGCGAAGAAATCTGTCTGTCGTCACGCAAAAAGCAACACATGCATGCACCCTCTGACAACTGCACAGTACACACACAGACACACACACACCACACACACACGCAACCATTCTCCACATTGTCCTGAGCTCTGCCTGTCACTCCGCATGGAGACTTTGCTCTATGTCAACTTTCTTATTCTAATAAACCACTCAGACATTGACTCCTAAGGTGTCATTATTGACTATACTGTGTTTGATTTATTTTATTTATAAACTTAAAAAAAAACCTCTTGCACACATGTCAAAACAAGAAGGTCTGTTACCTCTTACATAATTGAGTTGCACACTAATGGAAGAAGTTTTCACATTGTTTACTTAAGCAAAAGTAGTAATTTGACACATACTCTGAAATGTAAAGGTCCTGCATTAAAAACTCAAAAGTAAACATATTCATTTTGCAGAATGGGCCCTTTCAAAGTATTAAGTTCCTGAAGTCCCAAATGATGATATTGGATACAAGCTATTATCTTGTGCCTCAAAATGTATGCAGCATTTTCATGTGTGGTTGAGGTGGAACTAGTATGAAGACCCTTGCACACCCATGCAAACTTAAAGGTACTTTTAGCTTATTTTGCCTTATGAAATCTTTGTGGGCCTGAACAGACATCTTTCTCACTCTCCTGTCAGTTTTTGTTGCTGTGCAAGTTACAACCTTATTCTTTTTGTTTGTGCATGTAGTTTGGTGGCTTCACATAAATCCCAGCAAAGCTTCACCCTGAGCAGGTCTAATCAGACACATAACCTGTGTAGGTGTACAGGGCCTTTCATATGTAATAATGCATCATATTCTTCTGGGATCCAGCCCACTGATTTGGTTCACAAGAATTACCTCTTTGAGCTATTCTATCAATATCGTACTGTAAAGAGGGCTTTCTGGGCTGTTTGATTGGCGGAGGTGCTCGGAACTTCCTCTTTCTATCTTTTCAAAATTGAAGATATAGGAACAAGCTCATTTTATACGAAGAGGAAAGGTAGTTTTTTTACTATGATAACCATATATGTTCTTGTTTATTAACCTGCAGGAATTATATATTTACTTACTAGTAGTCAAATTATTTGTGTTTTGAAATAATTTGATTTAGTTTCAATTTAATTTAGTTTCAACTCCTGCCCTTTCTGCTTTTCTGCTGAAGGGCAGAGCCGTGACTTGTCTCCATTATCGTTTCTATTAGCTTTAGAACCAGTAGCTGTTGCAATCCGCAGGGACAGGGAAATTACAGGCATTTTCAAAGGTGGTCGTGATTTTAAATTAAATATGTATACAGAGTGATATTTTGTTCGACCTGTGTCCAATCTATCATACTCTATAACCAAAAGCAATTGGCGAGTCTCCAGGGCTATGAAAATAAATTGGACCACTACCCACTGATACCCTTTACAAATCAAGCGTGTACGCATACATTGGCAGATTGCTTGGGACCGAGCCGGCTTTTATCTGGGAAAGGCCGAGAGGGGGATGGAAATATTTTGGGAGGTCTTGCTTATACCCATAAAAGATATTTTGTTTGAAGCTAGCAATCTTGTATTGATACTCTAAAAGACAGACAACCCTGCCTCTGGTCGCATTAGGGGACTTAATGCTGATGATGGAACATTCTCCCAAAGATTATGTTTTCTCAAAAGCTTCCTGAAGAATACCTTGATTAAAATTATGGAGACAGGATTAACAATTCCGGTGCAGACAGACAGGACGTAACTGTCTCAGCGGTTTGTAAGCCGAACCGGGCGGCTGCCAGCCCCGTTGTTCAGTCCAATCCTCCTGGAACCCTAACATTCAGGACTCTGGGGAACAAGATTTTCTGGGGTTTCCACTCACGGGGGTAGAATTGGAAAAATGGTGGAGGACCTGCACTATTAGGTCGAGGAGTCGGGTCCCCCGTCCGAGTCGTATCTTTTGATGCACGAATTAAAACATCGCTGCCACAGAGCATGAGGGGCGTCCCCTGCAAGTACTTGGTAAATGATCTTCGGATTCCCCCTTCTGAACTCTGGCTGGCAGTGGGTTGTGGAAGCAGATGTGGGGAACTGGGTTTGACCCATGTGCTTGTGGCATGTGCCCTTGGCAGTCAAGTCCTTGTTGGACAAAGTGTTTCGACTCAGTGGGCTTCGATAATGGAAGTGGGAATAGTGATCGTTTCGTCCTCGGTTTCTGTGTCTTGGCTTGGCTAGGGCAGGGTGACAGGGCTGCTCAGTTGTGGTCAAAATGGAAGGATAGATATTTTGTAATAGTAAGGCCTAGCTTTTGGTGCTGCCAAAATGAATAGATTTTGGCTAAATTTGGGAAAATCCATAAGGCCGATGTTTGTTTCCCCCAATAGAAAACAGGTTATTTGAATTTCTCAACCTTCTTGGTCATGCGGAAACAAACTAGCGCTTGAAAGAGGATCCGATACGAACACAATTTGAAATTTTTGAAAGTAATGAATACAGAGCTACTGCTGTGCAGTCCTCTGGTGGGAGAACATGTTCTGAAAGTTTGGGGTTCCCTTTTTCTTGATCAATTGCACACTGTCGATGATTGAAATTGGACAATGTACACCGACAGCCATAACATTAATGATCCACCTGGACACACTGGTGGTCATGAATGTTATGCAGCCCCATACACAAAGCAAACTGGTGGAGCACTGTGGTGATCTGACACCTTTCTATCAGAACCAGGCATTAACATTTCAAGCCAGTTGAGCTGACAGGGTAGGATCATCTGTTTGATCGGACCACCTGGCTAGTCTCACTTCCCCACTTTGCCTCCACTAAGCCTTGGCCACCCATGACCCTTCTTGATAGGTACTGACCACATGCAGAACCGGGAACAACCCACAAATTCCTTACGTTGTCCAGTTTTTTCGCTGCTCTAAACAGATCAACTGTTTGAGGGACAAATGTAAACTTGGCTGACCTGATATATTCCCCACCCACTGACAGGTTTTTCATGATACCAGAATAATCAGTGTTATTCACTTCATCAGTCAGTGGTCATTATGTTATGGCTGATCTGTGTAATTGTGTTTGTTTTTTCTTTTTACTTTTAGCTTAGTTGTTGTGGTATTTGTTGCTTTTGTGTGTGGCTGCATCAGCCTGTTATGGTGTATTTTGTATCGACTGTTAAAATTTTTATCTTCTAAGTTTCTTTTCACACTAAAATGGTTGATATGGTATTTTAAATAAAAACAAATCTGAAGAAGTCTAAATTGTAAGATCTTTTTCTAATCCTACAAAGGTAAGAACATTTAAAAAAAGAGAAACTGGATAACACCTATTTTCCTTCATTCAGGAAGTTAATCATGTCAACTTATGAGTTAATCATCACCATAGTATAGTATATTTTCCTGTGTAGTGCAGTACAAGTATTAAGTACCATTTACTGAAAATACTTAGTTATACTTTAGTATAGACAGTTTTCAACTTTCAACTTTTTCTTTAGCATGATTTAATTTTTCTCCACACCAGGTGTGTGTCCGACAAAGTTAAGTTTACTTTATTTCAAACATCAGAAACAAAAATACCAAAACCTTTTACCCACCAGATTCCCAACCATACCCACAAAGATAGAAACAATATAAAGTACATAGTCATAGCAGCAAAATGCCCTTTTTTAATGTTTAGTTTTACTTCCCTTTTTAATTCAGAGTAATGCCATTCAGTGGAAACTAATGAAACACAGAATAATAAGTTAGCAGTCACTGTTTGCCCTATAAGCAGACTGATTTTTTTTTTTTATCAAGCAATAGTTCAGGCACATTGAAGACAGCCTGATTAAGTTAAGTGACTTCACCCGACATACAACAACATAAATCTGGGCAGGGTTGTTGTATTTAATGTTAATTTTACTTTGTTATTTGAAAACCTGAGTTCAAACTCTATTTTATAATTTGGTTTAATTTATTCTAGGTAATGGGGAAAGTTTGTTATTTCAAATTGCTATTTTGCTAACTTTGTCATGGAACCAAAAAGGGAAAACCATTAGGCTCCTCGGTCAGGCTAACAAATGACTACACTGAAGAAAAACACGTCCGGTCAAAACCTTGTAAATAATCACCCGTTGAAAACTCCATGTTCAATGTTACGATGCAAGATCAAGAGATGAAAGATTCAGATCAAAAATACTAATAGTTGTGGCCAACGAAAAAAAACTCAAATTACTCATTTGTGGTTCTCCTATGTCTATGTCCTATGGCTAAAAACAACCTTTAAAAACCCAATTAATTAATGAAAAATGAATTACCATGAAGCTAAAAACAAAGCTGATTTTCCTATTTCATCAAAGTTGACAGTGAGATTGTGATTAAAATATACAGTGTTACCGAGCAACATTATATAACTCAAAGCTGCACATTGAGCCGGTGTAGTACCATCAGTTTTCATTAGAGGGAGCTATTGCTGCATGAGACACATTAGGGCTGTTGCAATAAGCACCAAAAGCCTGGAGGAAGACTTCTGTAGACTTAGTAAAACAATCATAAAAATTTCCTTTACCATCAGTTCATATTACCCCGTGCAGACGTACATTTACATCACCCTACTTCTTGACACCCCCACCCTTTCCCCTCCTCACTGTACTTCTCACCTCTTCCTTTCCCCCTCCTCCCCATCCAGCTCTTCATCTCTCTGGGGAGCCTATCAGGCCATTTCACATCTGTTGAGTGGTGGAGGACCGTGAGGACCTGACAGGGGCTCTCATTTGCTGATGTTTTATGGGACTGAAGCCATCCAGTGCTGCAGTGCTCGAGTGATAGGAATGGAGGAGGAGGAAGAGGGGTGGTGGTGACTGTGTCCCACCCTGTGTGCAATTCCACCGGAGTGTTTGTGGCATCCTTGTTGACTCTCCTCTGCAGATTTAAGGTGACTGCAGGTGCCAGCTTTGGGATAATTTACAGCTTGTTTACACCCGGCCAATGTCCCATCAGATCTGGGAAAAAGTATGAGGGAGTGTATGTGACACTATGCCGTCCCTCTGACTCTCCTCTGTTATCTATCCATTTCCTTCTTCCTCTACCTTCCTCCCGTCCTTCTCTCCAACAGCCCCCCCTTCACACACACACACACTCATTATGATGAATCTGATTAATGAAGAGGCTGAAACAGTGCCAGTGGGTACTCTCCTTGATTTGACTGCCTACTCCACAGCTGAGCTCCACGTAATGCCAGCTGTCATCCGTCT